CATCAAAGAACGAAATACTACTGCAGCCCTGCAGAACATTCATGTCCTGTGAGTATGCTGCATATGTACACGGGAATCTTCAAGAGGAGCGTCATTGCGACAATGCAGGGAAAGGCGAAAAAACAGGGGGTAGGATGGGTGGGTGCCAAGACTCGAGGTTGTGGGAGGGAGCGAGAGAGAGATAAAGAGCTGACGAGACAACAAGCAAGCAATTCCACACAGAAAGGAATAATAACTAGCGAAGAAACGAGCAAGCAAATCCATGCAGAAGAAAGATGCAAGCGACATAAACACCGAATCACGCACTAAAGAGGATGGGTATGAGGGCCCTGTTGTAAGGTTTGAGGCTGATGGTATGAGGGCGTAGAGAGTTAAATCCTATTCCCTACCGTCGTCGGTGGCACCGAAGATAAGGTAAGGTTGCACCTGCGCCGATAGCCCAATACACCTTAGGCGAAGAAAATAACTCGAATTGCAAGGGGCTTGATACCAAGTAGTGTGTACCTAGACCCCGAGAAGTACGTAACAAAAAGACCCAAAACCGATAAAAAGGCTATTACTCTACATACTTTTGGGGTCCAGATATGGTCTGTTGGACCCTAAACCCGAAGGGGCATCGGGATGTCTGGGTGCAGCCAAAGGCACCGTCACAAAGGAGCTCGCATTCGCAGAAGTTGAGCACGCGCCAGCCCTGAGGAACGAATATGTCTACAGGGTTGGGGTTTACGGTTTTAGGGTTTGGGGGTTTGAAGATGTTTAAAGGGCGTGGGGGTAAGGTATATAGGGGGCCACAACAACCATCACAATGAGGTTGTCCAGGGTTTCGAATAAGGTCTCATGCATGAAGGATTCATCGGGTGCTGTTGGTTCTAGTTGTTGGCCCTAATGATTATAAGAGTTCTGGGAATAGAAAATATGGGAGTTTCCGAAAATAGGGGACCCTAATATAGTACCCTAAATAGTAGGATCCTTATTATAAGGACCCCACAATAAGGTACCCCTAATTTCGGAAACTCCCATACTACAATGCAGAAGTATCATGTAGGGAGATCTGCAGTCCCTAGACCCTATGAACACTGGGAAGACCCTGAAGCCCTCAACCCCCAGCCCTCAGACGCTACAATCCTAAACCCGAAAAGGCCCTGATGAAGCCCTCAATCTCAAACACGCAAAACAGAAGCCACCTCACTGTACAACGGCCAGTCTGCGCTGCGCTTCGAGAAGAAGCCGGCCCACCTAGCGGTTCGGTTTAGAAGCACTTATGGATTTGCCTGCTGATCAAGGTTTGTGGAGGCTATTTCGAGCACATAGAAGTTTTCTTATCGGGTATGAAAGTCTCCTGAAGCTAGGAGTATAGCTTGAAATTTGTACGGTGACTTCTTCAGGGCATCAACATGTCACGCCGACTTCGCTAGCTTGGCTCTTGCTCACATCTCGATGTGCATACCATGCATTCGATGCAAGCATGTGTATGTGACGGTATGTGTGTGTACCTAAATCTATATTCATAATACACGCAGATGCACATACATATGTATCTTTTTTATATGTTACATATATATATATATATATATATGCATATTTGTATGTATACATGCTTATTTGTATACGTAAATGTATGTATATGTATACATATATGTAATATATCACATATATATATATATATGCATTATATGTTCATATATATATATATACATATACGTACGTACGAACGTACGTACCTACCCACCTACGTACTCACAGACAGACAGACAGACAGACAGACAGACAGACAAACAGACAAACAGACAGGCAAACAAACATACTCGCATACTTACTTACTTACTTACTTACTCACTTACTTACATTTTGCTACATACCATGAGGGACCATGCTGGCCTGAACATACCTGTATAGGAACCCATTTTGTATTGAAGCCACAGGTACGCTCATTGTATTCAGGTGCTGATGGTGTGGAAGTGCAGCTTGTTGTTTCCGGGCGACAAATGAAGGCTTGCTTCGCTTTGGTCAGTAGCGGGATCGGACCTGTCTGTCTCTTTCTTGCCGGAAGTTGTTGCAGGGTGGGGGCACTGCCAAGCCGAACCTGACAGTCCCCAGAGTTTACCGCAAACCCCAAACCCTCATCCCTAAACCCTAGACTCTAAACCCTAAACCCTAAACCCCAAAGAATGGGGTCTGAACACGGCTCTCAGGGCAAGCCGCTCATCGTCGACCGGCTTTTGCGCCTTTTTCAACGTGAGCGCCTGTAGGTGATGCCTCAGAGGAGAAGCTAAGGTTTCTGGTTTAGAGTTTAGGGCTTAGGGTTTCTAACCCTAAAGGGAACTCCAGAAAGTTGGAATATGGATTAATGGTAGGATCCCCTATAATTTACCTTAAAGGGGTTAGGATAATGATATTCCAACTTTCTGGTTTCTAACCCTAAGGGCCCAAAGGACCTGATAATTAGGTACTTGGGTTTAGGATAGTGGTTATGTAGGTTTCTATTTTGGAGAGTATATGA